ATTCGGCTTATGTCTATATTATCGAAAAAAAATTAAGAAATTGTGCTTGAAAATGATCGCGTTAGCATTAAAAAGAGTATCCCAACATCAATTACGTATCGACTCAACAAATGTTGGGAAATATTTTGGCTGTGAAGTGTGTCCTAGCTAGACTAATACAAAAATATGTGAATTATTTTGTAAAGGCAACGTCGAGTAGACATCGCAAGATTTGTTTTTGACAACGTAGCTGAGAAGCCTATATTTGACAACTGCATCATTACATTCGATAAGACGCTGCTTTATGATTATGATGTGCTGAACACAATGCTCGCGACAGACCGCAGCAGCATGACAGTGAACTGAAAATGGCGTTGCGAATCCTACTACATGAACATTTGTGAGAGGGCAGCAATCTATCAAGGGCCGGCATGTACACAAAGCAACGCAGTTGTCCAGTTTGCATATACACAATTACGTTGTGGCCATACTAATACCTTGCACATCAATGAAATTTTAATATTTTGTTCAAAGTGAAATTTTTTGTGAAAAAAATAAGTTTCACATTATAAATTGTTATTACAAACGATGTAAAATATCTATTTTATGATTTTAATATATTTGTAAAATAACGTCAGGTTGGTTAGAACTTTGAATAATTTTACATTTTACATATTAGTGGCATCACCACTCTTCCTCATCTCTCTATTGTCGACACTACTGCTCTTCCTACTGTCGTTGGCAAATATAAGAACATATTGCATATATTAGCGAGAACGACAACTGTCGGATTGCAGCCGTGTAGTCGTGCAGTTGTCAAAATAGGTCTGTCCATAATAACGTGTGTATTTTAATATTTGCCAGATGTCTTTTGCAGTCTGTCGCGAGCATTGCGTTCAACACATGACGTCGGAAGTGTTCCACAATCCAATGAAAGGCGCTCCAAAAATCAGTCGAAACTGAATAACTAAAATGCTTTGTAGGTACTGAAGGCCGTCCGAGGTTTACAATAATTAATGTATGAACTGTTTTTTGGCCAGTCCGAGTTTTAGTTGATCCGAATCGATACCATAAAAAGAATATTGATGCTACAAGACAACGGAAGTTTAAAGCGTTTTTGATTATCATCATCTGTAGTACAATCGGAAGCCTTCCTCATAAAAAATTGGCTTTATATATTTTCGTATTTCTAATCAAACTTCAACTTATCTTTTTTATATTTATTATTATGAACTTTAATAAACCAAATATGTGTCATTTTTCCCGACCATTTTTTGTCATTTTTCCGCTCGAGAATCTTATTCCATCAGTGTAAAACTAACAAAAATTGCCACAAGTATTTTTCACCGGTTTCGCTTGAAGCCAACTTTACTCCATTGAGGCAGTTTTGCATTGACTGCAACAAATGGTAGTCCGATAGTGCAAGGTCAGGGCTATATGGTGGCCAGTCAAGCTCTTCTAGTTTTTGCCGAGTCATCAAAGATATGTGTGGCCTAGCGTTGTCCTGAGGGAAGACGAATCCCTTTCTGTTTATCAGTTCTGGCCGTTTATTTCGATTGCTTGCTCTTATTAGTTGTTGACAGCAAAATGTAAAATCAATCGTTCGACCAGGTTGGAGCAGCTCATAAACATAACCTTTCGATGCATCAATCCTGGTTTTGCGACTATTTGTTGAGCTTCACCACTCTTGAACCATGATCTTTTTCGCACATTATTGTCGTATTTGATCCACTTCCCGTCTTCTGTTACCATTCGATACAGAAATGGTTCGATTTTATTTAGTTGTAGCAAAGAATCGCAGATGTTAATTCGATCCATGCAATTTTTCAGAGATAATTCATGTGGTACCTAAACATCGATCTTCTTTTTATAGCCAGCCTTTTTTAAAATATACAAAACCGTTTGATGATGAATACTAAACTCCTTAACGATGTCATGACTGCTTATGTGATGGTCTCGACCAATCTTTACCATTTCATCGACTTTTTCACCATTAGGTGGACCAAAGCGAGGTGCATCTTTCATATCGAAAAACATCCAGAATGGAAGGACTGCACCGACAGCTATTAAGAAATTACGAAAATACTTCTTCGACTATTCAAAATTTTAGTAAAATTGTGAAAAAAGTTTTTAAATCAAAGAGATCTATATTCAAAAACAAAAATTTAAGTTAATAAACATCATTAATAGCTTATCATTTTTTAAATTGAAACATAATGCCAAGCAATGCCAACAAATTAAGTAAGCTACGAAAGAACACGAATACTACAAGTATTTTAAAAAATTCCGGCATTTAAATACCGTAAATATTATATATCTGTTTTTACACACTTTCCTCCCCAAATTGGAAACTCTTCGATCTCCTCGAGGAACTGCCCACGTGTCTGCACCAAAATTAAGAAAACATTAAAAACCATTACAAAAAACTCACGGTGAGTTGCTATTTTTTTCAAATTAACTACATTTCATAATCCGCTTAGAGCCACATTACATTAAAATTTACTCAAACGCAAAAATTTAAGTAAAAATCAATATCATTATGTCAAAGCATACCGGAGCTGTCACTACATATCGACGTTAAGAGACAGCAACGATAATAAAAATATAAAAGTAAAAGACGCTTGTCAGACAGAGATAATTTCTCGCAGCTTGCAGCCAACTCGGTTTGATTAGCAAGCGTCTTTTTGCTTTGAATCTGCACAAAAATGTAAGAGATCATGCTGTGCGCTGATAGTGTGTCCTTTGTGGAGAGTTCTTTTATGTACTACAGACTCATTGAAATTTTATTTCAATTAAAAGAATGAAGTCATGCTGACGCATTTTATTTGCCAAAACCTCGATAAAAGCATACAAAACCATATGAACCAGTTTATACGTATACATACTTTATGGTCAATATAGTTAAAAAATTCGCATTAAGGTCAACAAAGTTGCCAACTACAGTTTCACAGTAAGGAAGACATGAGTTGTTGTTGTATGTGTGCTGTTTGCGTTAGTTACATTTTCCTTGTCTACTTAACACACATTTATTCCGGCCGTTACCTTTTTGGCAATGCTACGGAACTTTGGTTGTGTAATCCCGTGAAGCGCAATTAATGCTTAACTAAGCGGACATCAAAGCCACATCCGGTTGTCATGCGCTACATATATATATATATATATATATATATGGATATAAGTATATATAAGATTTACATAGCTGCCAGAAGATGGGACAAAATTGAATACCCAATGAAAATATTGGAGCACAAATTATTCGGTCAAAATTATTTTTTATTGTAAACTTTATAAAGCCTGGCTATAGAAGAGTAGCTCTCTAGCTACAATAAACCCAACTCTTTATATATATACATATATCTAATATTCTGTGTTAGCATGCCTATTTGTACACCACTTCCTATTACCCTATATTCGCATTCACATGCAGGGAATTGATGTGACATTTGGCTGACGACACGTATACGCACCGTTGCACCCGTTTATCAATCTCCCTGTATTATATGCCTTTTGCTCTGCCGTTACACTTGGCACGTATTAATTTGGCCTATGTGGCGGAAATGTACAGCTTACTTAGTTGACTAACTGATTTCCACCGAATGGGTCAATAAGGATTATGATGGTGACTACACAGCTAGATGGTTGAAATGAGTACAGGGTGTAGTAAATATTTTCATAAATTTATTTGTATTTGAGATGCCTTTATGACACTCGGGAGTGATTGTTGTTGTACATAAGCGGGATCAGATTATTGGATTAGGTACCAAAAATGATAGTGATTCTTTCATAATTATTATTATTTATTTTTTTTTTTTTAATCTTGAATTAGAGTAAATGCATACCGATTTAAAACCTTTTAATAAATGTACTTTTCGCTATATTTTCTCTCTGTCAATGCTGTTAAGGGTTGGCGAAATTAGTCTAGAATTCAGATTCATAATTATGCAACACCCTGTAGTTTCATTAAGCCTAAAAGGTGTCTCACAGAGCATGCATACTTACGAATGTATACACATTGGAGCGGATCGAATTTTTCTGTAAAATCGCTTATACCAGAACTACACTGAGAATAATCTAAAATATCTGATTAATCAGTTATATGGCTGATATGTGATATACTTGTCCAATCTGGCCCATTCCGACAAATTATCCATAGAATCTCAAAATGCACCCAATTATTATATTTTATTGGGATATCTCAAAAACTGACGACCAAAGTTTTACAGAACCTAAAAAACTTTGCACCAAAAATCGAAATTTTCTTTAGAATCATAGTCTCTGACGAAAAGTTGTTCAGAAAGATCCATAGAACATTTCCAGTATACACGATTTTTTCCATTTTTATGTCTCCCTGTAAATCGACCCCCTCTGATATACATACATGTATATATGAACATATAAGCGTGGTATTTGCGTCAGTACTCTATGCATTAATATTGGCATTATTAATTTGGCATTAAACTTGAATAAAATGGAAGTTGATTAGTGTCATAGGCAGCCGTTGCTGATGGACTGTTATATATTGTTGACAGGTCACACATACATACAGTCAAACACACGCATACAAGCTAATATACAAGATAGCTTTTTGAAACTCTGGTTAACTGTGCTAGCATTGCGCTGTCAAATGCTTTTCAACGTGTCACTCAGGGCGACAAATGCTGCTTTCGGCTCAGAGCTCTTCGATGAGTTTATCGATTTAAGGAGTGTTAAATTAATTGCTTTCCCCTTAATGCGCGCCAATATGCTAAATACAATTTGTTAGTTTGGGGAAACTTTCATTTTCATATTTGTCTAAGTTTGACTAGGCATTACTTCATAAAGCATTATAAAAAATGCAATGTCGAGGGTTGCTATTAATATTGTATATTATAAACACCATACCTAAGACGAAGCTAGAAACAAATGCTTTTAGCTCCTTATACGCCGCTAAAATGGGAGAAAACCCAGCAACTTTTCGTAACGGAAAACTATTAAATGAGCGAAAACTTGCGAAATAAATGACTTAGAAGCACACAGATCACTTTCAAAAATGTTAAAATCGATCTCTATAAACTGTTTCAATATTTCGCCCACCGAGCGAGTAAAATAATAAGTTACATATTTACTATCACTCTTACGTTAAAAATGTTTAATTATTCATAGTTTTATCTGCCATAAACAGCAAATGTTACATTTAAACCAAAGCCAGCTTGAGTTCTCATTTGTATCGAAGCGTAAGTCCAACCCGGTCCACCAGTCAGCAAAGTATTAATGGGACCTGAACTGTTCTGGAATTGGTCTCTCAAGTAAATGGCGCTAATTACTTTGTTATTGCTCTGGTACTGTAAATAAAAATCAGTTATTAATTAGTGTTGCAATGGACTGGTGCAAAAATGAGTCGTATGGCAATAAAAACTTTATTAGGTTCAGAAGTACTACGTTCCAGATAACTTCTTATATAATTTACCGATTCTGGAATATCGAAGTAGAAAGTCTGCACAACATTTCCTACTGCTGGATAGGTTACTTTTTTATTGATAAGTAGATAATCGGTAGCATTTTGCACACCCCAAGTTGAGCTTGTGGAATAAGTAATTGTCCCCAAGGCTAAGAGCATGCAAACTTGCACAATAACTTTCATGTTGATCAATAGTATTTTAACTTTGCTATTTGATTTCAGCTAATTGCATGAATAGACAATAGCTACTGTTGACTTTTACCGAAATTTCTTTGCTTTATATACTAAATGTATAATTACTCCTTATCAAACGTAGTATTTCTAAGAACTCTACTAAGCATTGATATACTTATACAATTTAATCAGCGCAAATAGTTATCAGTGCTGATACTGTATTTTGTCATGTTTTATGGCATGTGGTAGTCATGAAATTTTAAAATTTATTATTGATTTGACGGCTGTACTTTTTCCTCATTTCTCAATTGAAGTGCCCCATAACCATCTACCTATTTCAAATTTGCCATTTTGCTGAATGTGATTTGTCAACATGAATTGACGAAACAACAGTAAAATCGATTATCTTCTAGGAAATATAGTTCGCAATCATTTATTTTTAACAATTTTAATCAGGTGAAATCAATAAAAGCTTGAGTGTAGGCTTAACCAGACCGGAGAGTAGACAAGTTTAATTGTAAAGGTTTCAACTTATATATTATATAAGTATAATATATATTATATATTTAGGTTCTGTAATAAACAGATAGCAAATATCTTCTTTAAATCAAGTATTGGCATATGAATATAGTAATAAGTCTGAGTCTTTCTGATTCAGGAGAGGGCACAATATTCCTAAGGTCTCGGTGTATTCTTCGTTTATCACTCAAAAAATTCTAACACACTTTTATTTATAAAAAAGATAAAACTAAGGATGAACATAAAATACCTATGATCCCCATTAAATAACCTTAATTCGACTGGACGGATGCTTTTATGACACATTGTAGCGAGAAAGAACCCAAAAATGGTTTTTCGTGCGATGCAAACCTATTTCCTCTGGCTAGATAAGGCACCGTTACGCTGTCAAATGTTTTTCAACGTGTCACTCAGAGCGACAAATGTTGCTTTCGACACAGCTTACTTTGACGAGCGTATCGATTAAAGATCCTTATATTAATTGAAACCCCAAAATATATTTTCATATATCAATATACAGGAAAGCAAGTTTTAAATTTGTCAAGGCATTACTACATAAACCCATATTAAATACAGTTTTGAGCGTCATTATAAATATATTATGAACACCTAAATTAACCACCCTCACATTTTCATTGCAGGCTCACCGGAAATGGCTTTCATTCACGCGCTTGCCGCTGCTATGGTGACCAGTTTTATAGCTCGCGCCTGCCGCGATGGGCAATTGGCGTCATGTGGTTGTTCGCGTGGTTCGCGCCCTAAGCAATTGCACGATGATTGGACGTGGGGTGGCTGTGGCGATAATTTGGAGTTTGCTTACAAGTAAGTATATGCAGAAAATTCGCAAAAAAATATATTTTAAATAACTAAATAGAACAAAAGCTAATAAATTCATAAATTTCCCTTTTTTGTTTGTTGCCAGGTTTTATGTATTTCCTGAAACCAAATTATCCTATAGCAATTATTATATAAAGCAAACAATACAAATAGTTGTACCCAAAATTTGACATACAGTTAGTATAAGGTAGAGTAAGCTGGAGACTATTTGAGAGGCTAGTTGCATAAATATTATTGATAACAAATCAGCCTGATGGTTATAACTATGATTTTATATAACTCCTAACTGCCTTGCGTTCTTGCAAAGCATCCTTACCCTTTTGCAGTCGTCCACAAGAAAGCTTTTTTAAGAAATAAACGAAATAACCAAATAAATTCTTTGGATGTCAAAATCGCAGTGAAATATTGGTTAGTCGAAAGAGTCTTTTTCTATTTTGTCAACAGATGTCGTTGTAGTCGTATATCTTCAATACTACCAATCTGTGTGTCAAATAGTGTTGGAAGGGTGAGATTTCAAGCATCATTTATCCAAAAAAAAGAATTAGATTTGGGGAAGTTAAAAATAGTTGCAACTGGAATGAATGAGTGAAAAAAATGAAGAAATTCGCTATATTTTGAAATTTATAGTACGTATAAAAAAGAGAAGAATGCCATGCAAGCCACCAATAAAATTTGTGAAGTTTACGGAGACGATACTGTATCAGTTCGCGTAGTACAAGCATGGTTCGCTAGCTTCCATTCGGGGAATTTCGATGTGAAGGCTGCACTTCGCTCTGATCGACCTACCGTTGGAAAAGTCGGTGAAATTATAGAAAAGATTGACTAGGATCATCACAAAAGCGGCCATGGCATCGCTAAGGAACTTATAATTCATCATCAAACGGGTTTGAACCATTTAAAAATGGCTGGCTACAAAAAGAAACTCTATGTTTGGGTACCCTGTGAAAAATTCAATGGACCGAATTAACATGTGCGCAACTTTGTGGAAACGAAATGAAATCGAACCATCGGACTACCATTTGTTTCAGTTGATGCAGAACTCCTTTAATAGAGCAAATTTGGCTTCAAGGAAAGCCTCTGAAAATTACTTGCCGCAGTTTTTCGCCGAGAAACCAGAAAAGTTGTACACTGATGGAAAAATGGCAAAATGGTTCATTAAAGCTCATTATACATAAAAAAAAAATATGTTGAAATTTGATTAGAAATACGAAAAAATTTTTCGTCTACTCTTTTTACTTGTTTACTGCCAAGTTTATTTGTTAAATAATTATTTATCATAAATGAATTAGGTACTTAAAGCGAATTTTTCTTTTATAGTACACTTGAATACACCAGAGACTGAAGAAGATAATAAAGATTTATTTACGTTACATTTATTAATATGATTAACTCAGGTATTAAACTTGTCCCGAAATAACCAAATACATAAGTATTCAAAATGTTCCGGAAGTGTTTGGGGGCGTTTACGAACACAGGTATATGAGTGGCAAAACGCATTCAGTGAAGGCTTGGCACGTGCGAGTTGTCCACCATTACTAATGACGATAGCTCCAAAAAGGTTAAAGAAAATATGCTTGAAAATCGTCGCGCATACAAAGATATCAACATCACTTATGGGCCGACTTAACATATTTCGGTTAATGTTTTGGCTATAAATATGGTTAAAGTTTTGGGTATAATGCGTGTCAATGGTAGACTAGCCAAAAGACCTTCATGTTTGCGAAAACGGCATTTATTAGATGTCTCAAAAGATATTTCTAACAATGTATCTGGGAACCTTTTATTCTTCAAAGTAATCATAAGTGATGACAAGACATGAGTTTTTGAATATTTTGTCGAAACTGTTCAACAATATATCAGAAAGAAGCTTTAAATTTGCATTCTCAAACTTCACAACTCGCTTGAAGCTCGTGTTCTCCACCTTTTTCATAGTTTCATCAACCGTTAATTGACCGCAATTTGCCATAGAGAGCATATTTCATAATTTTAAGTGAGAACAAAATAAAAGTTGCACGCAAAAACTGCGCAGCGCGTAACCAAAAGTTGACCAATCGAATTAAGTGACATCGAAAAAACAAAAACTTCAAAAAGGTTTGCACGCATAATGAAACAAACCAAAAAAAAAAAAAAAAAAAAAAAAACCAAAAAAAAAAAAAAAAAAAAAAAAAAAAAAAAAAAAAAAGAACCAACCCATAAAATATGCTTGAGCTACATAAAAAGTATTAAAACGCTAAAAAGAGCCCAACAACAAACGCAAAAAGCGGTGCACCATAAGAAAAAGTAACTTACGCGCACACATTACAACAAACAACAAGCCTTTTACGCACACACGAATACACTTTTATGCGGCAATATTATTTGCCTGCGGCAAGTGTGTCGATGCCGCACTAATGTTGTTGGCAGCGCTTTATCTCCACCGTTTGTTATTTTTGTTGTGGCTGCTGCTGCTGCTGTACTCAAACGCAGATTTCTCGTTGCACTAGCTACATATACATACATTGTTATTGCTATTGTTTTTGCATGCAAAATTGCCCATAACTGCAAATGTCGTTTGGAGAATTTTCGAAATGCGCATACTTTCAACCTTTAAGCCCCGAACTCCACATAGCCGCTCGTGCGTCTGCCACTTTCACCTCGCACCGGCGTGTCTGCCGAATTCGATCGATGTGAGTTGGCGTATGTTCGCATGCGTGTGTGTATGTGTGTGGCATGCAACTTTGGCTGTTGGAAGTGTGTAATAATTTATTGTTTTTGCCGACTTCACATACTTTTACAAACCGGCATAACATTCTGTTGCGCGCTTTATGCCCACACATACACACATATACACACACGGCGCGTTATTGAAGCGCGTGTCCCGTCCGTGTGCCGCTTGTGGCCATTTTTAATGCACAAACTTGACGCTTTTCCACTGGGGTGCATAAATTATCACGGTATATTGCTCATCTGCTGCAACTCAGCTGCACCCACTGCCCCCCGCCTCCGCGCCCACACCACGCGCCTTGACACACATAATATTTGCCGCAAATTTCCGCGTCGAATTTATTTTTTTTTTTTTTTTTTTTTTTTTTTGTGATTTGTTGTTATGTCCGTTTACTGCGCAGTTAGTTTTCAACTACACCAACAACAAGCGCATGCATTTTAGTATGGAAATTTATTTGCATATACTCATATGCCACAACCAACCGAATCGCTGTTATGGCCGTGGCTGTGCGCCTGCAAATAGGCTTGTAGTTATTCCCCGCCCCCACACAAGCAGCAAATTTTGTAGTGTTCCTCCACCCACCACCCCTCGTAATAATACTTATTTGCAATGTCAGTTTACCCGCCAAATTGTATCAATCATTTCATGGCACTCCACTTGTTGTTGTTGTTTCTGTTTGTTGTTTTTGTCGATTTCGCTGTTACAACAACTCGCGCGCTCTTTGATTTATGCACTGAAATCGAGTTGCGTTTATTTTTCATTTTCTCTTTTTTTTTTTTTGTTTTTGTTGTTTGGGTTAAATTTGTGCTTTCATACCCATCCATTTATGGTTAACGGGTTTTTGTTGGCGGCACATAATTCAAATTGATTTGCTTTTATTGTAGATAAACGCAGTTATTTGTGGCATAATGATAGGCAATTTGTTGCTGCATTACTTTTTTACACGTTGTCTGCTGTTGTTGTAGTTGTTTTGGCAGGACATCAATCGTAGCAAAGAAAAGTA